TCTAAAAATTTTTATGTAAGTCTTTCCTTGGCCTTATGAGTCAACACCGCCGATATTTGTGGACAGCTTTCATTTTATGTTGGAATTTATGTTGGATTACTTTTATAAATAATTTTTAAATTATAATAAAATATTTAATATGATATTTAATTTTTAAAATTTTTAATATGATATTTAAATTATAAATTTATTTATGAATTTAGTACTCAATTCTAATGTAAATAATTTCAAATAATAAATGTGATGAACAAATAGTTTTTTTAAATATTACATTAATTAATAAATTTATATTTTATGTGTTACATTATAAATTATTAAAATTTAAATATTGCATTAAATATTTTACTATAATTTAAGGACCATTCAATATGATATTAACCCTTTTAGATTAGTAGGACAGGGTATGGCAAAATCTTGGTGAGGAAATAATTGTAGCTTCGATTTCTTAAAAATATAGGAAATTAATTGAAGTTCTGGTGTTGGTTGACAACCAAAAATCTGAAGTGAATCAACACAGCACTAATAACACCAAGTTTACGGATCTAATTTTGATACAAAATTGTAGTTGGTGAACTGTATTGCCTGGTAAACTGTAATGGAAAACTCCACTAATTTTCAACTCTAATGCCAACCATGGCTGAAAATTCAGAAATTCTTGTTGAATATTGCATTAATTTATAATTTACATATTAATCAACCACTAATTTTCTCTGTCTTCCCCACAAAAAAAAAAAAAAAAAACAAGTTGTGGAAAGCTCATGGAAAGAGAAGAGAGCTTTTAAAACTTTCTAGCAAAAAAAAAAAAAAAAAACAGTGCCCAACTAGCCAGCTTTGACAAATCACAATGTACAAAACCGTCAACAAAGTCAACTACCATTATTTCTTCTTCCTTCTTCCTACTAGTTATCTTCTGCAAATTTATGGCTTGTTTCCTATCACATTCTCCTTTCCACCAGAAAACTTCCTAGGAATTTTCACGCCCCTGGAAGACTGTAACAGGTAACTAATATACAATTTTTAATATCCATTTCTATGGTCAATGAAATTGCCTGTCAATGAGGATATATAATATATGCCTGTATTATACAATATGTACTTCAACCTTATCAAACTATGCTCAATTCCAAGTGATTTAATTTTGTTCTTATTATATATGTTGTATTCATGAGAGCTAATTCTTGTAGATTATACCATTAATAGTTATATTTATAGAAATTTATACTATCTTTGAATTACCGGTTATGTAGTTAATAATGGAATGACTCAACTGATTTGGTGATGGACCAATTGAAACTATACAAAGTGAATTTAATCCTAATGTAACTGCTGTAATGGAGGATTTGTAATTTGATTCCTTATTCTAGCATTGAGCATCTGGGGTGTTGGAAGTAGGCCAACATCTGGGGTCCAATTGAAACTTGGTCTCAATTGGTCTTATTTATATTTGGCATCTTTTTTGGGACATAGTTTTCGGCAATTCATAGGAGAAACTGATGGCTGCAGAAAGAGATGACCCCGTTACTATTCGTATAGGTAAAAATCTGCAGGCTATTTCCTCAGTATCGTCCGATAGTTGCATCTTCAAAGTACTTATTTATCTTCGCAAGGTAAATGAAAAGGCCTATGAACCTGAGGTAGTTGCAATTGGTCCTTACCATCATGGTAAAGATCACTTAAAACCAATGGAAGAACACAAAATTCGGTTTCTCCAATTGCTTCTCCAAGAAAGAAGGGAGAATGATGTCACCAAATATGTTATGGTGATGAGAGAATTAGAAGAGAGAGCTAGAAAATGCTATGCAGAACCTATAGGTCTCAACACCGATGATTCCACGGAAATGATGCTCCTTGATGGTTGCATTATTATTCAGCTAATGCGCAAGTTTGCTATGACCACATTGATGGATGATACTGTTGTTAAGATAGGTCGTTTCCACGGTATCTTACGTCGTGATTTGTTATTGGTAGAAAATCAACTTCCCCTCTTTGTTCTTTGGGTTTCATATGATTGAGATTCCTAATCCAGATATATTCATATACATTACCATAAATTTCTTCATTATTATCTAACCAGGTAAAGGGTGTATTCGAGATGACTTAAAATCAATCATGGAGATCAAGCATCTGCCATAGGAAAAAGACTAAAAAGTTTGAGTGGAGCTTCATGCACTGTGCGACAGAACTCCAGGAAGCTGGCATCAGGTTCAAAAAGGCTGAAGGAAACAACATTTTCGACATAAAGTTCGAAAATGGGACTGTGAAGATACCTACCTTGGAAATTGACGATCATACAGAATGTGTCCTCCGGAATCTGATTGCCTTTGAGCAGTTTTTCCCTGGAAGAAGTCTGAATCATGTCACTGATTATATGAATTTCATGGACTACCTGATCAACTCTCCAAAAGATGTGGACTTACTTCGTCAGCGAGGGATTATTAATAACTGGTTAGGCAATGATGAAGTGATTGCCACCATGTTTAATATGCTTGGTGACTCTGTAAGCATATCCCGTTACTCCTTTTACTCTGAAGTTTTCAACAATGTCAACATTTATTGCAGTAGACGCTGGAACAAAAGGATTGCCAACTTGAAGCATAACTATTTTAACAGTCGTTGGGCACTTGTTTCAATTCTTGCTGCCGTTGTCCTCCTTCTACTTACTATGGTGCAAACTGTATTTTCAGTTCTCTCTTATGTTAAGTAACTGCCAACTGTTACATGTATTCGGTGTTTGCTTTGTTGAGGGCAAAACCACCACACATCTAATAGCTTTTAGAATTCCACCAACTCGATCTGCCAATAATTCTGTTTTTGATGGCAAGGCTTATGAAACTCGATTCTATCAATGATGATTTTCTCAAGAACAGGAAATTTCAAATTAAGCATTATGAGTAAGGATCTTTGATTGCAAAAGGACGAGATGACAGAGCAAGCAAGGCTTATTGAAAATACTCTTTTCTTATTATTATAATCAATAAAATATGCTCTCTTTTATTATGTATTATATATTATATGTAAAATATAATTATATGCCGTGAGTGATGTGGAGAAGAGTACGGGGGCGAGCTACAATGCGAACGGGATTAACGGGAGGAAATGCTTGTTGCCGGCGATGTGGAATCCACGACACCAACGCGCAAGACGCTTGTCTGATTGGACACGTAGCGTAAATCAAAGGTGAATGGAGATGATGGTACACGTGGTACAGATATGTAGATGGCTGGGGCGATGTACGGGAGAGGAGAAAAAAATTTACATAAAGTTTTATAAATAAAATTTATAAAATTTTGTATTAAAAATGAGTAAATTAAAATTAAAATTAAAAGATTTAAACATTTTATTACATAGATTGATCGTACAAAATTTTAAAATTTTTTTATAAATTAATTAAATAGATATTTTTAATGAATATATTAACAAAATTTTTATCATTGAATACGTATTGATCAAATTTAAATTATAAATAATATTTTTAATAAATTTTTTTTATATATTATTGATTTTTACTTTAAATTTTATTAATTTATCGATTTGAATATTTTATTAAAATTTTTATTTAATCATTTTTAATAAGAAACTTTATGAATTTCACTTATAAAATATTATTTAAATTTTGTCGGAGAGGGAGGGTCATTTGTTTGTTATTATTTTGCCTGATGTGTGAATTTTATGTAATTTTGTATAAAAAAATATAGATTTATATTTAATGCTATAAATTTTATACAATATTATTTAGTAAATTAGATGATATTATTTTATTAAGAAAATAAATAAAATTATATCAACTCATTAACAAATAAAATTTTCAAATTCATTTCTTCCAGGAAAGATAACAAAAATATATCTACTCATTACTGAATTAAATATTTCAAATGCCAATTTTTTAATCTAACTATGATGCCCTTTCTTAGGAACAAATTTGTCGCATTTTTTTTTATAAAAGAAACTGTAAAAATAATATATATATATATATATATATATTGCAAATCTTATTTGAAAAAGATCATGTAAAGCAATTGTGTTCTATAGTATTTCTACAACGAGGAACCATTACTTATCCCCACGCTCTAACCATTTTTTGTCTCTCAAATAAACCACTTTTATGACAACTATATATAATTTACTCTGATCATAGTATCACTGCTAGTTGTAATTTGGACGCTTTAATTAGCCCAAAAGCCCCTTCCCTCCTCCTCAATTGGATGCAAGGCTTCTTTTTCTTCACAAATTTTTCTAAAGATTATAGTTCATTTTGGCAGCTTGCATAATAGCTTTTCTTATACTGTTTTAATTGTTATGTTTCTTCTTTCTTTTTGAATTATTACTTATCTTAAAGTAAGTAATTTATTATAATCGCTATTAAGGCCATAATTTATTTCAAAATGTTAAAATGAATAGCCTTTTTCAATTCTAAACGAATAAAAAAAATGAAATTCAAAATGTATATCAATAAATTATTAAATTGAAAAGAATTTTGAATAAAATATTAATTTAAATTTCAAATAGGACACATGTTTGAATAGTGGTGAGAAAATTAAAAATGATAAAAAATAGAATGGATCTACTAAATGATAAATTTGAAGGATAAATCAAACACGATACAATAAACCTTCTAATTTCGTATTTTGAAAATGCTTAAACTTTTGTGTTAACGGAGATAAACTCTGAAGCATCTCTGCATGAAATATAATTTATAACTAATAGATTATTTAGATAAAAAAAAAGTTATTACGTACGCTGCATTCCTTTATTACTTTTCTCAGAAAAAATAATAATAAAGTAAAACAAAATAGCAAGATAAAGTCTTAGGAAAAAGCAGCAAGCAAAAATCAATTACTGTCAAATCACTCTTAAACTAATATTACACAAAAGATAAGTGGTACTAACTTGTAATAATAAGTTCACATCACTCACGGCAAACAATTGTATTTTAAAAAGTATTTTCAATAATTTACATATAATATATAATACATATTAAAAGAGACTATATTTTCTTACTTTTAAAGAGCAATTCCGGTAAATATGGTTTGCATGAGGGTAAGTAGAAGGATGACTGCAGCAGCAAGAACGGAAATAAAGGCCCAAGGACTGTTGAAATAGTTATGATTCAAGTTGGCAATCCATTTGTTCAGGCGTCGTCTGCAATATTCGTTCACTTTGTAAGATACTTCATGGTAGTAGAATGAGGAGTAGAATAGTGAGTCAGTAAGCCTATTAAACATCGTGGCAGCTGCTTCATCATTACCTAAACAGTTGTCAACAATTTCACAGCGTGCAAGTATTTCCACATCTTTTGCAGAGTTAATAAGACAGTTCATGAATATGGCATAATCTGTGACATGATTTATATCGCTGCACGGGAAAAGCTGCTCCAAGGCAATGAGATTTCGAAGCAAATAGTTTGTGAAGTCATCGATTACCAAGGATGGGATTTTCAGAGTCCCTTTTTCATACTTAATATCTAACAAGCTCTCTCCCTCCACCTTTTTGAACCTGATTCCAGCCTCTTGGAGTTCCGTGGCACAACGTGTGCGCCTGAAATCCAATTTTTCCATATTTCGAGGGGACTTATTTTCAAAAGGTGAAGGACGCCAATATTCATGTATCAAGTCCAGTAGATGTCTGATTTCATCGATCGACTTTACACCATCTGTAGAAAAACTAAAATCCGGAAACATAAACTCCAAGAATCCCAAAATCATTCTAGTGAAATCTTCATTATTGGAAATCCCAATCATCCCAAGTAACTTCACTACAACAAAGAAGGGAATTTGATTTTCAACTAATAACAAATCACGGAATAAGGAGTAAACCAAACCAGTCACCTTAAAAATGGGGTCATTGTCCACACTCGATGACATGCCAAAACACATCCGAATTAGCTGAACAATAAAGCAACCATCGAGGAGCATCATTTTGATGAAATCATCTGATTCAAGATTTACAGGGTCTGTATAGCAATTGCGAGCTCTTGGCTCTAATTCTTTCATTGCCTTAACATATTTTGAGACATCATTGATCTCCTCTCTTTCTTCAAGTAGCTTTTGAAGATACCGAAACTTATGCTCTTCCATTGCTTCTAAGTGAAGCTTACCGCGGTGGTAAGGGCCGATTGCAAGTCGCCGTGGTTCATAGGCGTTCTCATCGATCTTGCGAAGATAATCAGGCACTTTGCAAATGCAACAGTCAGCTTGTATTGGGGATAAGCTTGCAATCTTTTGAGTTATGTGAATCGAAACATGATCGTCCGCCATCACTTTCTTCTGCGAATTGCACCAAACCAGGTTAATTATTATTACAAATAAGAAATGCCAAACTTTCAAAAGTGAGCATACCACAGATGAATTAACATGACCCAAACGGAAAAAAGCTACCAGTTAAGAAAAGATTTTATGGAATTTCCATTATTCCATGTTTGCATATACCATTTTCATATTATTATTTTCTTAATTAATTTGGAAAAAATGCAAGAAATAAGACTTACTTGTTCTTCTGAAAAGGGGGTGAATTACTTTGTTTCTCTGAAATTGATAAAAAATTTTGGTGGCAATAATAATTTACTAGAGCGATGACTTCATATAATTTTTGTTTCTCTCTTTGTTTAGTTGTTCGTAGCGGGCCAAGGAAGCAATAATAATTGTCTTGAGCGAAGACTTGGTACAATGATTTTGGGCACTTAATTTATAGTCGGAGCTTGTAAGTTATCCATCACTACATTTTGAAAATCCACTACCCTTTGACGTCATTCTAATGTCGCAATCAAAGTTCTTGTTTATTGCATCATCAATTCAGCTAACTGTGGGGAATTTAATTATTGACATTGATGTCGCAACCAAAGCTTTTGTTCACGGCATCATCAATTCATCCACCTATGTGGAATTTAATTATTGACATTGATTTGATTATATGATATTTTTATATTTGAAAGCAGATTGAATGTTAAAAATAAGAGAATATAAGTGGTCAAAATTTAATCATCCATTAAGATACACCATCAACTAATTATTGAACAATTATAAATCTTGAGTCCTAATTATTTTTTAGTTTATAATTACTTATGAAATTCAATTTGTAAGCACGTCTTAATACGTAGCAAATAAAAAAAAACAAAAATTAGTTCAATTAACTTAGAATTATAATTCAATTGCACTTAATTATAACTAATGAAAGATTATTTTAGTTACCAACAAATAAGAATAGTCATTGTCTCAATATAATAATTAATCAAGTTTATTTATATGTTTATAACCGAAAAAAAAATTTTCTAAAGAGTGAAAGCTCAATTAATTTTGGTGCATTATTATAATAATGTGTTAATATTGAAATATAAAGATATTTAGATGGGATAATATCCAAATGGTGTCAAGTTATTAAACACGCCGGTGCAATGAAAATGCTTCCACCGCACTCTTAAATGGAGTCCTAGTTTTCTTTATATCTAGGAATACTATTCATTAATGGATAAAATGACTGCTATATATATATATAAATGAGGCTATAGCCCAAAACTTTGTTTGTTGCATTGACCCTCTCACGATCCTTTATCAAGTCAATTGTACAGATGGATGTATAAATGCTTTGAATGACTCGATAATGAGAATAAACGGTTGGTTGTTAGGATGGAAATGAACAAAGCTTGTTATAAGCATAGCTTTGTCCTGATCAGCAGATCATATATATAAAATTACACGATCGGAATTAAAGTTGAATTTGCAAATCATATATATAAATATTTATATATATATATATATTACAACACATTTAGGAGTGCTTCTAGATAAACCCCAAAAATTTCTTTTTGCACCCAAAATTTTTTTATTATAAAATTGACCTTAAATAAAACTATTTAAATACATTATTAAATTACTTTTTAACCCTTTATACATCATTTTCTCCTTCTCTTCTTCTCTTTTTCTTCTTCTTTTTTTTTCCTTTCTTCCTGGCCTTTTTCCATCACAAACCTTAAATCTTTAAAATTACATTTCTTATCTTGTAAATTCTCAAAATAAAAAGTCAAATTTGAAAAAAAACTCTGGTAAAGATGAAGAGTGCTAAACAAACAATGAGGTAAGTCCTTTAAACGTCAATTTTAACTAAAAATTTGCAAATTCCAAAAATAAAACTTTCGGTTATGCATTTCTAAAAGCTTTTAAAAGCTATCGGATTTATATTTTCAGAAACTTTTAAAAAGTTCCAGATTTACATTTCTGAAAGTTTTTAAAATTTTCCAAAAATGCAAATATGGAATCAACAATTTGACGAAAAAATTTTAACAAAAACTTACTAAATCTAAAAATCTAACCAAAATCAAACAAAATCAAAGACATATTGACTCTAAATTGAAGTTTGGTGACTTGATTTTCTCCAAAAGTTAGTGATTTAATGGTTGATTTTTAGGATTTGAAAGCTAAAGATAATAGACTAAGAGAGGAAAATGGGTGTGAAATGGTAAGAGGCTAGGGGGTGAGAGGTAAAGGCTATTTAGGGAAGTTTGTAATTAGGTGATATAGGTGCATTGAGTAAAAATTGGATTTGGAGTTTTTAATGTTGGGTGTAGAGAGATAGGGGTGTAAAGAGGAAAATATGGGATATAAATAGAATTACCCTATTTTTAAGGTCTTAGGGTATTTTAGTTGTTCTGGTTAAAGTGTATTTTGGTCATTTGACCTGTTTAATGTGGTAGATCATTATCGGAAAAACTTCCCCGAAATTTTTGTGTCTGACAGCTGACATGGATAATCCATTCATCCCATGCTCATCTTACCTGGCCCGAATTACTTTCTACTCTGTGAGGACTAAATAATGTTAGGCCACTTCAACCATGACCTATGCCACATTAGGGAGATGCTTGCCACCTCGACTCAACTATAATTACCCGACTTTTATTCTCTCATTTTTCTTTTAACTTTTGCGATCGTACTCCTTTCTTCTTTTTTATCCTTTTCAATGATTTGAGCATTAGAGACTTAAAGCAGAAATGCTTAAGCTACTTTCGGCCTTGGCTTCTGACTTCATTCTTAATTTTTATATGCCTAATCTCATCCAGAAATTTGCATAAATTGTATTGATGTATTTTTTTATTTTGAAATTTATTATTTTTAAGTAATATATATTTTTATTGTTTATACTTAAGTTTATTTTATTAAATTTTTTCTTCAACAATAATTGATCAATTGGTTTTAAACTAAATAAAAAAGGCATTTCTTTCCCTCGTAAATCTTACCAATTACATCAAAATTAAATTAGAAAAGGCAATGAAGTCGACACCACATTGATGGCAGGACGGCCATCCCCCCCACCCCCCCCCCCACACATTTTTCTGACACTTTTATTTAGATATGTTGTAAATCTATAAGTTCCTCTAAAACGAATTTATAAATGGCACCTCTAGAAAATAATTATGTTTTTTTTAATATTTATAAAAATTATTTTTTAAATTCCAATCAATTTGCAAAAATATTAAATCTAATAGTTTAGTTTTATCATTTAAAAATTTTAAATGGTTTTATTAAATATGACCCACATTAAAAAGTCAAAACTCTAAAAAAACTTAGCAAAAACTTAAAAAAATGTAAGATTGATAGAACAAAAAGACAAAAATCTTAGTCCTCAAGGCCTAAACCCAACACCAATCCACAATAGTTATTTCAAAAGAAATGTATTATTGTTTCCCAAGAGCATATTATAATGACAAAACAAAGGCTGGTTAAAACTCTTCCACGATAAGATTATTGCACCTTTATCTTATGATTTTAAAGTCATTAAAAGTATATTATAATTTTTTAAATTTAGATTTGAGAAAATTATCAATATTTATGATAAAAATGTGCAAATTTTGATGTAAAATACAAACAGTGTGTGAAAACTACTTTTACTGTAGTTTTCACACACTGTTTGAAGATTGATTGATTCAGTTTTGCCATGTGATTAAATTTAATCTAAATAAGGGTTCAATTGAATAGAAATAGAAGATTAAAGACTCGACTGATTGTAATAAAATATTAAAAGTTTAAATGATTTTTTTAATTATAGTTCAGGGGCATTTTTGACCCTTTAGCCTTATTGTTACAAAAGTAAAAAAAAAAAAAAATTAAGTAGTTTTCACACACTGTTTCTATGCATACATCAAAATTTGCACATTTTTATCATAAATATTGATAATTTTCCCAAATTTAAATTTTAAAAAATTATAATTTACTATTAATTGCTTCAAAATCATAAGATAAAGGTGCAATAGTCTTATCGTGGAAGAAGTTTTAACTAGCCTTTGTATTGTCATTATAATATGCTCTTGGGAAACAATAATACATTTCTTTTGCAATAACTATCGTCGTTTGCTGTTGGGTTTAGGCCTTTGAGGATTAAGATTTGTTGTCTTTTTGTTCTATCAATCTTACATTTTTTTTTAATTTTTTGCAAAGTTTTTTTTTTGGTGTTTTGACTTTTTAATGTGGGTCATATTTAACAAAACCATTTTTAAATTTTTTTTAATGATAACTACACTATTAGATATTAATATTTTTGCAAATTGATTGGATTTAAAAATTGAATTTTTTATTTTAAAATTTAAATTTTTATAATAACAAAAAACATATTTTATTTTCTACAGGGGCCATTTGTATGTTTTAGAGGAATACTTATCGATTTACAACATATCTAAATAAAAGTTCAGAAAATGTTGGGGGGGAGGTGGGGCATGGCCTACCCGCATCATTGTGTTGTCGACTTCATTGTCTTTTCTAATTTAATTTAGGATGTAAATGGCAAGATTTACGAGATGGAAGAAGTGACCTTTTTTTTTTATTATTTGGTTGAAAACTCAATTGATCTCAGTTTGTTTAAGAAAAAATTTAATAAAATAAACATAAGTATAACAATAAAAAATAAAATATATTACTTAAAAATAATCAATTTCAAAATAAAAAAATACATCAACACAATTTATGCAAATTTCTAGATGAGATTAGGCATCTGAAAATTAAGAATGAAGTCAGAAGCCAAGTCCAAAAGTAAATTAAGCGTTTATGCTCTAAGTCTCTAACGCTCAAATCATTGAAAAGGATAAGAAAGAAGAAAGGAGTGCGATTGCAAAAGTTAAAAGAAAAATGAGAGAATAAAAGTCGGATAATTATAGTTGAGTCCAGGTGGCAAACCTCTCCCTAATGTGGCACAGGTCATTGTTGAAGTGGCCTAACATTAGTACTCGCAGAGTAGCATGTCATTCGGGCCAGGTAAGATGAGCATGGGATGAATG